TCACAATCCCATGTTTACAGTGGGAAATTAGTTTTTAAAAAAAACTCACAGTATTTTTGTTTTCATGTTAGACCTGGGTTCATCATGAGATGGTTGGTATTTTTGGTTGTTTGATTCTTCAGGTGCCAGTTTCACAAAAATGGACTTTAACTATGGGTTTGATCAAAGAGTGTAACAATATAAAAAAACTCTCAATAATATGAAGACCCGTAGCAGAGTTGAGATGCTGTGGCTTCTTAATGTGACAGGTCTCAGTACATCTGTTAAGTCACCAGTCAGGATTAGGATAGTTTCTTGGATAAACAAACCTCTTTTCCTTCTGTGTGTCACTGATTGTTGGAAACATGGCTTTTAGTTCAGCATTAGCCCGGGGGATGGGGTGGCTAACTCTTAAGGCCGAAATACATCAGTCTTTTTTTTGGGAAGCTGGGGAGCATTTGGTGGTAACCAGAAACATGACTCCAAATGTTTGCTAACAAGTTGATAAAGAAAAAAGGTGATACTATGTCAGCGCTTACTTATTTATACTGCTTCCAAGGGGCCAAAATAATCAGTTATTGCAGGTTTAATATTAATGTAAATGCTGCAAATATCATATGTATGTTTTTTTGAGTCAGCAGGTTAACATTAATGCTTTGTGTTTTCACTTCAGGCAGAGCGCAGGAGAAGAAGCCCAGAGAGGACAGAGGTCCTGGGATGAGAGCTATCTGCCATTTCCCTGTCTCCCCCAGAACTCCAGGAGGAGTACGCTGGGCGAGTACACTCTGAGGTAAAGAGCCACACAAAAAAATAAAACACCCTCTGCAGACAAAACCCTTCTCTGACGATGTTGACCTTCAGTATTTGCTGACTCAAGCGTCCCCTGCTCCTCCCACCTCTCTTGTTCTTTCTCCCTTTCTCTCCCTCCCGTTCGGTGTTGTTCTTTTTCTCTCCTGTCTTTTGGGGAGCCGGGGACATTGATCTATGGTCTGACTTGGTGTAGGCTCAGTTTGGAGTGATGCGCTGTGGTCACTTTGTCACACAGACTCACGCACACATTTATGGAAATAGGGGTCTTGGCCTCCGTCTTTGAAGTGTCTGGTCAGGGACTGGGTTTGGAGATGGATGATAGTTGGAGTGTGTGACACAGTGGGAGGAGGGAGTAGAGGAGGAGATGAGGGGTCAAGGGGTCAGGAATTTGCGGCTGAGCCCATGTTGTTCCATACAGCAGCCGGGTGACAGCAATACCTCAGAGAAGTCAGGGCAGGTGTGTTTGTCTGTTTACTTCTACTACAAATCACATTTTCTCTCACAGAAAACATAATTTTCTCTGCCCTGCACCTTTTTCACAAAACTTAATCCAAAACAAAATCAGCCTGCACTGGATAGCCCTAGAAAAGTTTTTGGTTTGTTTGTTTTTCTGCCATCACTCAGCACTGGATCCTGACATTAGCCCCTTATCATTTCTGTCAGCTCAAGGCCTCACAGTAAAGGGCAGTGTTTGTGAGATATGTGGGCTGATAATAATGTGTGGTCAACACAGCAGCAGCTGTCTTCCTCTCTTCTTTCCTCCGTCTCCATTACAGATCTGCTGTCTCCTCTGCTCCCCGTCTTTCCTGTAGCCCAGCTCAGCCTGTCCCAGCCCAGCTGTCCCCTTCCTTCATTAGCTGTCCCACAACACTACTTACTGCCTGTGTTAGAGGGTCACTTACAAAATACAAAGGACTCAGTATAGGTTCTACCCAGTACTTTGTTTTTGGGTTGATCGGAAAGGGCTTCGCTTGTTCTGATTAACCCACAGAGAATTATCACCAGACTGTTCCCCTCAGCTCTGCAGAGCATTTTAGCATCTTCCAGCAGCAGTTGTTTTGGTTTAAATGGCTGCAACTAAACTGTTTCGGTTAAGTCTCACTGTTCCTATCAGCATTGTATCCTGCAGCAGCATGCGGCAGCTGTTCTCAGAAGCTCTTATAAACTCTAATATGCTGTATGATACCTGCCCGGCACCAAATGGCAAAGCAACTAGGTGGTGAACATTTTTTCTTTTCTTCCATTTCCTGTCTTGTCTTTCCACTCCCGGTCACTCTTGATCAGACAGCCTAATTTGAATTTCTCAAAGCTGGAAACACAAGTCCACATTCACAAAGAGGTCACATGGCCTAACAACACCACACAACAGCGTTAACTACCTTACAACTAGCTCAATGTGCTTGATGTTTCAATTGCAAGAGCACTGATTTTTAACTTGTTATTTGTGTAACTAACCAGATGAGTGCCCCTGTGACTGGATGAAAAAATATTGTATTAACACATGTTTTGGAGGCACATGCTCAGACAACCTCTGTTGATGTCATATTATTAAAAAGACAAAATAACACACAAATACCAACACATTCTGATCCCAGTGCTGTGCCACGGAACTGATCTAATCGGCTCCTATGTGTAAACAGTTTGGTCAGACTGCAGCTCTGTAAGTCCTTCACGTTGTACTTTTAGTGTAAACTAATCAGGTATTTGCTAAAACGAAGACCAGAAACATGACTCTAGATGAATCATAATGTTGCTCCATATCTGCTGAATGTGTAAACAGGAAATCGCTAACACATTAAGCACAACAGCTTTATAAAGTGATGTCATGTCAATGTTGTGTGCACAGCTTGTTACACTTCCCCCAAGTGGCCAAAAAAATCAGTTAATGCAGGTTTATGATCTTTAACAATGTAAACATGTTTATCTGAAACTCATCTACAGGTAACGTATCAGTTACCTGTTCAGGTTGTTTGGCACCAAGCAGACAGAAAAAGAAATGGGAGACTGTCTCTGTTGTGTGTGCGGTAGTCGTCATCCCACTTCATAAATAAGTTTAAGCTTCTCTTCCTACTTTTTGTTAACGTCACGTTCAGCCTCCCGCTTTGTGCCGACTCATAAGAGTGTTTGATATGTTACACTGAACGAATGCACTCAATTTGTAAGTTATTCTTACCTGTTCAGAGGCTGAAACTCTTCCTGACTCTTTCTCTCTCTCACACACACATACACACAAACACACACACACACACACACACACACATACACACTGCTACAGACATATAAAAGACTCAAAAGCTTTTTGGTGTTGTATTTTCAGCATGCAGAGCTGGGCTGTGTTAATGGCAGTAAAGTGCCAAGTCAGAGAGCAGAAAGTGAACTCTCTTCTCACTTGTTATACCACCGTGGGACTCAAAGGGAGGTTCAGGGAAGTTCCAGTAAAGAGAGAGAGATCACACACAGACGCACATGCACACATACACACTCACACACACACACTCACACACACACATTTCTCCTCCAGCATTACTCAGTCCTCCTACTTGTTTTCCATGGCAGCATACAACAATAAACCTAAAGTGGTTAGTGTTGTGTACCACACAGCAGCAGAGCAGTGTGTGTTATTTAGAAATGGCTTAGTCCTTATTGAATTAATCAAATGTTGACTTTTTTGGAAAAATCATAGAATAATTTAATTGTCCTCATAATCACATAACTGTTAACACCCATGCCAGTTTTTCTATGAGGCTGTACTTCAGCATCATGCTGCTTTGAATTAAAGGCTAATGTCGCTAATTAGCACTAAACAAAAAGTACAGCCAAGGCTGATGGGGATGTGATCAGTTTTGCCAGTATTTGGTCAAAAGCCAAATTAAAATTTTGACCAGATGATGGCTCAACATGAAAAGTCAAAAGATCGCAAAAGTGAGTACAATTCATTCTGAATGGGAATAAGAATGTCTGTTATCCATCTCGTAGTTTTTTCTCAAAACCAGAAACTATGAACCTCATAGTGGCGCTAGAGGAAAAAAATCACGTGATCTCCAAAGTCATTAGGATACATCCTCTGGGCACGATGGTTATCGTCACAAAACTCCAAATCCATCAAATAGTGACAGACAGACTGACGTTATCATCCATGGAGAGTCATGTTGCTGGTTTGGCTAAAAATTTTCGTTAAAGCTTCTCAAATGTCATGAAATTTGAATGTAATATCTTTGGGTTTGGGTCATTGCTGACAAAACAAGCAATTTCAAGACATCACCTTGGGCTCCAGGGGGCTGTGATTAATTAGCATTTTTCACTATTTGTTGATAGTAGATTTAATGATTAATGTTGAAATAATCAACCGATAACTTGATGATAACATTAAAAAGATCATTAGTTTCAGCTTGGGGTCCAAAAGTCTGAGACCACTTTCTCTTGGCCTGAGACTTTTGGACCCCAACCCTCGTTACATCATGTCTATCTTCACTCACACTTACCTTTCCACCATCACCTTCTCACCTACACCTCCAAACAAACAGCTTCAACACAAAATACAAGCAAAGCCTCTTAACCGCTTTAAGATTTGACCTTCCCCTCATTTGTTCCCTGCTTTCTGTTACCTGCTGAACAATGCTCCTGCTCACTTTCACGTGCACAAGAGAGCACACAGCATGTGCAAGTAGAAAGATGAGCGCAAACATGTTATTTTACCTCATCTGGGTCAATTGACCCACCCCCCTCCCTCTCAATCTCCCCTTCCCTCTGTACTGACTTGATGTAGTCATTCTCTGTTGTTAATTGTACAATAAAGTGTAACAGTGCTATTATTCAGCCACGGGACAGATGCAGACAATTGGGGTAAGATGAGGTGTTCTCCTGACGCCTGTGGGCAGTTTTGCTTTTACACACCCACTAAACCGAGATAGTGGATTAAATTTCTAAAAACGTTAAGTCTGACGCAGAATTGTGTTGATGCAGAGAATATGTGTGAAAGAGAAGGGAATGGATGAAGCTCAGGCTAAAAAGAGAAGGGGGAGGAGAAAGAGAGGCAGAGGAGAGTAATGTGTGTGTATGTGTGTTAAAAGAGGGAAACTAGAGGCAGGGGGGCTGGCAGACAAAAGTGAGAGAGGGGAGGGAGGAATGAAGAGGAGGAGGTGGGGAAGGCGGTGCTAAGGCAGACGGCAGGGAAAGAAAGCTGAGAAGAGGAACAGTGGAGTGAAGTGAGAAGAGAGAGGAGGAGGAGGAGAGGACAGGACAGGAAAATAAGGGGGCTTCCATTTGAAAGTCCTCGTGTCAGGATATGAAGTCCTGGAGCAGTGCAGAGGCAACGGGAGGAAGCTGGAGCGTTGTAGAGAAGAGGTAGACGACAGGGGGAAAAAAGGAAGAGAGACAAGGAGAATCTGAGGCAACAGAGACTGGAGTGTTTTTCTTTTTTTATTTCTTTTCCAAGAGAGACGGAGACAAGTGGAGGCAGCGATGCAGAGCTCTCACTGGGGTGAGTGAGGAAGAGTGTGTGTGTGTGTGTGTGTGTGTGTGTGTGTGTGTGTGTGTGTGTGTGTGTGTGTGTGTGTGTGTGTGTGTGTGTGTGTGTTTGTGTGTGTGTTTGTGCATGTGTCTGCATAAGTGTGTGCGATCTTAAATTCTCCAAACTCAGACTCTCTTGATCCTGCTCTTTATTCAAGCTTGGCTTCGTTTACATGAATGCAAATTTGCCTGAGGAAACTTTGTATTCATGAGCACCGTGCGTCAGTGTGAAGCCACTTAAGAGGGTGTCAACTGCGGAAATGCCATTAATGGAAGGTGTGTAACGGAAAGATTTGAGACAAAAGTTGTTTGGCAGGCACATTCACACAGAAACACTGATTTTAACAGGATTGGAAACTAGTTGGAGGAATGCTAGTGGAGGCCAAAAAGTTGGTGATTTGGATACACTGAGATGTGAATGGTGAAATAATGACAAAGAATCCCTGGAAAACTTGGTTTCCTGTCATTTTGCCAGAGATTGAAGGCAGCTGGATGATTCAGTGTCAGCTGACTGGCTTTGACTTGAAGTTAGTTTCCTGAAGTTGTTAGGGCTCTAAATGAGCCTGGAGACGTTTGGTCTGCACAAGCAGGGGCAAACAGACCCAGTAGCTCAGATCTGTTGAGGTGGGATGATGAGTTTTTGGTGGTGTGTGTGTGTGTGTGTGTGTGTGTATATGTGTGTGAGCCCAGGTTTTTCTAATCCTGACCCTGGGTAATCTGCTCATTACAGACTGTTGGGGTATTGATTTGAAATTTCAGCCTGTAGAAAAGCTGTTCCACCCTCTGGACAGTTGGCCTGGAGGAGGAAGAAGGAGGAGGAGGAGGGTGATATTCAATCTGTCTGTACACACACACACACACACACACACACACACACACACACACACACACACACACACTCACTCACGTTGAAGATAAGAAAAAGCATGAGGCAGCAAACACACTTCTACCAAAGCAGACAATTAGGCTGCTTCTCAGAAGTGTGACCCGTACAAAATATGTTTTCATCCAGAAGACTCACAGGGAATCTGTAAGTTTCTTTTGATGACGAAGCACTCTTGCAGACACAGGCCGCCGCTGTTTCTCTTCTGTCTTCCCTACACGTGTAATTACAAGACTCCTCATGCGCCTTGGGCCACATATTGTAGTTTCTCATCAAGTTTGTTATGGCCCGAGAGTGATGTGTCAGCAGATATGTTTATAGCCTGAGCGGTTAGAGGGGCCGTCCATTCACTCAACTCTTTGTAGTAGCTGCCTGTTTGACCGTGTCATGTTCAGGTTTCATTTGAGAGCACGCTGGGAGAAGACTGTAATTACCCAGACTGGATTTTGGCAGTTAGGGTAGGACTGACGTTTCACTCCATAAAGACAGCAGCTGTAAATGGGCAGGTGTCGAGACGCAAGCGCTGACGTAAAGTTTGACTTCTGAGATAGAGGGGAGTGAGAGTGGGGACAGAGACGGAGAGGGTGGGTTACCTCATCTGCTCTGAACAAAACAAATGAGGTAAATGTGTGTTGCAGGTTACATACGTAACCCTTTCCAGCTGCGTTGACTCATGCTTCCTGTGTGTGCGTATGGTGTGTATGTGTACAGCATTAAGAGATAGTAAAGTAGCTCCAAGTAAAAGGCAGTGAGACTTCTGTTTGTTCTCTTTCTCCTTTGGTTTTTCCTCCCTGTCGTCCACCATTGTTGGGCTGAAGGTTGGTTCCATCTTGGATGTAGTTGGTAAAATACACCTTTCTGAATCTATCTACGATTTCTCTTTGATTGTCCATTGTGCCTCTTTCTGACACAACAGTCATCTGCAAATGAAAAAAAAAAAACTGGTGACGTGTACAAACACATGCTAAGTAGATACACAACCAAACGCCTATTAAATGCAACATTTGTGGGAGGCTACTTGTGACAGAAAAGGAGAGACTGACAAGTCACTCACTGAAATATTTATCTACCATCCATCATAATAAAGTAAGCACTTTTTTTTTTTTAAGTAAGGGTTTTTGTTTTTACTTCTGCAGCTGCAAAAGAAAAAATGAGCAAGGACACGGTTAATGAAAGTCACCGAGCAGTGACAAAATATGTGGTGAAATTCTGACACCCGTTAGGCACAGCAGAATCTTTGTGGTGTAGTAGTGATACTGAGTGAAATCAAATTGCCCCACCAAACAAACAAACAAACAAACAAACAAACCCAAAACGATTGGATAAAGAATTCAAAAGCATTCAGATTGGATAAGCGGATTCTGAACTGGATTCAGATTCGAGCTCCATTATTTTCCAGTGATCCTGTCGAGCTAAATCTTATGCCAGGTGTTTATGTAAAGCCTTGAGTTGAGAAGCACGGTGGAACACTGAAGGAGGGAGACAGAGAGAGAGAGAAAGAGAAAGAGAAAGAGAGAGAGAGAAACATAGGAAAACAGAGAGACAGCGAGAGATTAGAAGTCGGCCTGGCCTCTGTTCAGTTTGCTGAATGAGTGTTTTCCATGCCAGTCTGTCCCCCCCTCCATCTTTCTCGAGTTTACAGCGGCGCGGACAATATGTCTGAAAACGTCTGCACATGTGCATCTAGTGCCATGTCAGATATTTTCTCAGATGAGTGGAAGTGAATTATACATGGAGGCTGGCACAGTTTAACTGAGGCGTCGCTGCTTATGTAATAGCTGCTGTGGAACTCATTTGCCTTGGCTGTATTTAGTAACACTGGTGTGTGTGTGGGTGGCATTATATGTGTTAAATTCTGCTTCTTCAATGATCACTGATTTCACACTGAAGCCGTGACACCTTTGCTGAAGCGTTTAAAAAAAAAAAAAAAAAAAATGCTGAGCCATGTCAGATATTGTAGCCTACTTTTCCCTCAGTGAAGCCTGGTAGTAAATAAACCACTCTCCTACAATGATACGTCCTATCACTACCACCGCCTCAATCTCCCTCACATTATGGGTCACGTTGTCAGTCAAAGTGTGGTTGCTTTCAGTGTGAGATAACAGGCTCTTTCTCTCTGCTCTCTGCCCTCTGTTACACTGAAACAATGGCTCTCCACTGTTCATACAGCCAAAGCAGCAGGGGGGGAAGGAAGGCAACTTTAGGAGGGAAAACTTTACTCTTCTCTCCACTGTTGGGACAATGAGAAGTCAGAACAGCCTGACCATCAGGATTTTCTAAAATATACTCCAATAAACACCATGCTAAGAGAAACTGACCTGCTCCTGCACTGATAAGAAATTGTAGCTGCCCCCGGTTATTGTATTAAGTCCATGGTCATTGATCCTGGCAAACAGTAGTCCACTGGCCAGACTAATCCCTGTGTCTCTACCACTGGCATTCTTGGTATTTCCAGTGTCTGCGGGTCTGACCACTGACCGCCACTGGATAACTGTCAGTGGCTGGAAAACCTCCTGGAAAATCCAACTTTTTGGAGGGGACCAGGAATGTCAGCCATCTTTTCCTTTTTCACATACTGTTGCCTCAGTTTCCTCCAGTGCCAGCTGACTGTAAACCAACTTCAGCTCGACTGCTATTAAAGGCTGGGTACAGCATCTTAATACGTTCTGGCACAGACTGAAATGTGTCCATAGCACCTAGTATCCCAATAAAACATTTTCATATTCTTTGATCAGATAGCTCCTGCTTTAACTCAAGTTTATCAATTTTAGGTGTTTTTAATTAGGAAAGGTTCTTGCACAGCTGCTTGTATCTACAATTTGTCATTTTCACACTTTGGTTTTTGTACAGATTTAATTTAATTAGTGAGCTGTAGAGGTGGTCAATCTTTAAGATAAACTAAGTTAACCAGCTGCTGGCTGTAGCTTCAAATTTAGCACACAGACATAAGAGTGGTATCAATCTTTTTATCTAATCTATCCAAGAAAACAAGTAAGTGCATTTCCCAACTGTTCCTTTAATATTTGAGAATTGTAGCTTTTTTTGTTTAATGAAAAACATGTTAAAAAGGTACTGAAATAAAGTGTTATTTTGGTATTGGTACTGACACTCTGCTCTGGTGTCAAAAACTGCAGAATGATTCCCAGCCTTTGTGCTGTTAAAACGCAATAGGAACATTGAGGTGACAGCTTTACTTTTGATGGATACAGTAATTTGGTTCTTACAGCATGGCTAAGCTTGACATGGGCAAAGATTTTACCTTGACAAAATATGTATGCTACCTCAGTTGTTTTAGTGAACTAATGCTCTTGTAGAGAAACTAATAGGGCGGCGCACAACTCATTTCAAACCGGACCCATAAGTAAGCATGTGACTGGCAGTTTGTGTCCCCAAATGTGTCCCCAAATGACTATAGTGTTTTCACAAGGCTGTGTCGCTACTTTCATGTCATTGACATCTACTGCTTCCCATTTCAATAGATAGCTGGCTGCTCTCTCTGTCAACCCCCACTGGGACTTTGTGAGTTTCTCTGCAGTTATATGTGTGTGCAGTAGAAAGAGAGAGAGAGAATCTAGGCTTCAGTCACCCCACTCTCCGGCAGCCTCTTAGGTCCGAATTGAGGCCAGATGCTTTGAGATGCTAAAGAGCCAACCTGCCCGCTGTCAGACTGTCAGACACGCACACATGAGACTCACTCCCTCATTCACCTATTCACTCACTCTTTCTCTTTCTTCCTTCCTTCCCTCCCTTTCCCACTATTCCTGCCTATCTCATTTCGCCTTGTGCATGGCCTCTGCTGCCATGGCAACGCCTCCAAACAGAGCTAGAAGCTAAAGTCTGCAACACCAACAAGTTGGTTGTAAAAGAAGAGGAAGGGAAAAAAAGCTGGACTAGGGGAGGACCTGTTGCCAATTACTCATGCACAGACTCACTTTTCAGAAACCTTATTTCTTCCTTTGTTTCACCAGAGAAAAACCTGGCTTAATAAAGTCAGAGCCCCGCAGCAGTCTGGACGCTCGAACTCACAACTTTTGTAAAGATACAATGTCAACCATGTTACTTTGCCAAAGAGGGCAATGTCTCTCTGG